AATTCTTAAAAAAATGATCAGGAATTCAGGTCTAGATTGTAAGCCAGTCTTGTTTTTTGGGGGTTATTTGAATGAAATATAACAGTCATGAAGTCACTAAAGGCCAAGAAATTATTTCCTTTCAACCTTATCTTGCTAAAATTACAATAGATAATGATATTATAGTGTCCAATATTATTCAACACTTTCATGTGCTTTTTCATTATATCAGATAAAATAATTCTTTCTTATTGCTCCTCATCAATATGAAATGAATACAAGAGGAAAACATTTTAAGCTATATAAGAAAGAGCTAGCCTCTATTGATGCAGTAGAGGATCAATATTTTGCAGAACAATTCCAGGACAAAGCCTTCATTTGATTCCCATCCACTCAATATACAGCCACTTGACAGATACAGAAAGATCAGCAAAGATCTTAAACATGTCATGCTTCTAAGAAGGCCAGCTTCCCATCATCAAGAAGAGCCTATAATTTCTCTCGGAAAATAATATCTGCTGCAGAAAACCACAACATGTAAAGTATGTTTGGCCGTGAAGATGAGGAGACTAATTGGTGACTAGCTGTCTGTGTTTGTCTGTCTTGTCAGTCTGACTCTCAGGGTCGGAGTTCATCTGTCGACAGCTCCTGTGACCAGCCTGCAGCCTACTAGTGACTATTGTGTGTAGTGTACATATGAAAGTAATGCAGATTTTGTACCCTGGATAATGAGTACATTGTAAATTGGATACTTTCAGACAAATTTTTCATCTACATGTAAACACATACCTGTAAATAATATTTATTAGTACAGTGTTCATGTTTTTTGTAGTCCACCTGTGATGCAAAGTCAGGATTGACATGTATAATACATGTGATTCGGGTCATGACATCACATTCAGTTTCTATTTGTGTTTACTGCATCACATTTTGACTGAAATATATTTTAAAAATGAAAATAAATGCAAGATTTGTTTATTTGAGACAAAAGGAGAAAAATTCTGGGCAGGAATGGTAATTAATGCACAGATGAAGGAACAACACACAAACTGTCCCTTGTATAATGTTAAAAACACTGTTATCGGCTGTTGGAATTATCACCATTAACTCATTTACCCCTGACATTTCATAATGAATTATTCCATCCTTTGAATTGGAAGAGTTCAAATGTGTCTTCAGGGGTGAATGAGTTAATAATGTTGATTAAATTTCACAATGTGGAATGTAATGTTATGAGTACCGTAGATGAAAATAAAACAAATATTTGATGAAGCCATGTAATTAATCACATACATTTATGTATGATAATAAGTTACAGTACTGTGATGATTTGCTAATGACAATAAGACACTATATATATAGAGTATGTCCTTGTTGCTTTACACGATCATGAATCAAATCATATGCATGTACACCATGATTGTAAACCTTGGAAATTACAGTAAGTTTTACTCCAGGAAATATCCATTATGTTATAACTTGACAAATTAAATGCAAGGGAATTCATAAAATTTGTGAAGTTAATTAATGTGAACAAATTTGAAGTACAGCTATAATTGGAATGTCTCTTCAAATTTATGTGAGGCACAGACATTGTAAAATGATTATAAAATTATGCAATGATAATAGTATTAGGTTTGCATATATATAGAAGCATACTTTTGACATTTCTATAGGCTAGGTTAACGGAGGTGTATGTAATATAACTACACATTCCAGGCTTCAGGTGTAATGTCACACCCACTTAAAGGTAGAGTGCTTAAATATGTAGACTTATACATAAACAGCTTTAGTATCAGAAACATAGGGGGTGTGACGTTTGGTAGACATCAATAATATACACTCGAATACACTATATCATTATACACCTTGGTAAAAAATACCTGGAAGGAAGGTCTTGGTAAATATACCTAGACTACAGTGTATATGAAAGGTGTTTGTCAGTAAAAATACCTGTACGAAAGGTGTTTGTCAGTATAAATACCTGTAAAAAAGGTGTTTGTCTGAAAGAATTATATCTAGATAAGAAAGGTGCTTGTTTTATAAGCTAGGGTTATTAGGAAAAATATATGTGTCAGGGTATATCTACCTTGGCTTAAGGGATGGTTGTGTGTCTGCCTCATGGTGATAGGGTTTCCCCCCCACATATCTACATGCTCTACATAACAATCAAACCGGAAGTCTACATTACTTTTTCACTCCCACTACAATCTGTCAGAGGATAATTACTACAGACTTCAGCACTGTCAGTGTGTGTGTGCACTGTTCCAGCAGTAAAGATGTGTTATTGCTTCATTGCAGTGGATTGTATGTTCTCCTGAAGATTAGTGGTAAATATGTTGTGATGTAAGTACTGTTTGGAAGTTTTGTAGTACACAATGGGATGTTACTCTGTTAACTGATGTTGACAGGAGACATACAATGTAGCTAGTAGTATAAGGTGTAATGTGCCTGTCTGTTTGTATTATACCTGACTTGGCAGCTATATCATTATAGTTAGCAGATTTTACAAACTGTTTACATATACCATAGTGGCATAACAGGACTTTGTGGAAGAATGGGACCTTTACCCTGAGTAATAGAAGGTGGTACATTTCAGAAAGTTTTGAATAGATTTCGTTGTTTCTGACATCACATGAAAAGGAAATAGTTTTGGTCGGCTATCTTTTCATTCTTCTGCTGCATACAGTATCAGAACCCAGGTTAGTCTAGAGACTCGTCAGTGGTTCCACAAAATATGGTACGTACCTACGCACAGTACTGAAACAGTTATTTCTGACTGATAAAGGCTTTCCATAAACCACAGTCTTCCTATAGTGCCTCTTGCCTCTGTGAAAATTGTCCTGGTATGAATGCATTGATGATATAGGAAGCTTACCCCTGTATATGACTTTTCTAATTATCCCTGGTATATAGAACTGTAAACAGTCTATACCAGTGTCTGTATAGCTTTCCCTGGTAGTAAATACAATCTACCTGGTCTGTATACAAGTATCGGGTTTACTATAAACAGTAGGATATTTATAAAACCATCACTAGGTTTATCTGTCTAGTGTCTATTTATGTTGGTTTTAATCTTGAGTCTCAAACATGGAAGTTCTCATGTACACAGTGTTGTATCTATCTCAGGAAGGAAAATAATATCACTTGTTGATCTGGAGTCAAAGAATGTCAAATATTTAGGGTATGTATAAATGTGTGTATACCATTTAGAAAATCGTCTAAAATACCTTTTTTTTAATTTTTTTTTTTTTTCAATTTACTTAAATGTTAAGTAAATAATTCAATTTTCCAGCATAAATATTCACTGAGTTTACATAGAATTAGATTACTGTACAGGGGTGTCATATTTAGTTTTAGATTAATACCATTAAAAGGGTTTAGATTAGATGAGAATTATTTATTACCAAGGATTCTTAATCAATAGAACATACATTCACTGATACCCTGAGGTGGTATACTTCAGTTACTGGGAGTGGAGACCGACACAATCTAGATGACAGGGACACAATCTAGATGACAGGGAATACACCGTTCTATACTAGGTATACAGTTTACCAGGGCAGGTAAGGGGGTGATAGAGTCAAATAATACTGGGCAAATGAAAGTTGTTACTGATCTGATTGTTATGGTGATAACCGAAGGGTTATCCTAGCTGTGACATCAAGTGTTAAACCCAGGACATCAGGCCATATATGGTCATGTTGTCTTGTACAAACTATACAAAATGTAAGTGAGGTAAGCGCATCACTAGAGATCTGGAGGTATACCTCACATGTAACAAGGGTCATGATCACCTTGCATGTATTTGGGGGGGAGGGGGGTATCAATTATTTGATTGTCCCTCTTGTACATATCACAAGGACTATACTATACTGTAAGTAACAAGCCCATGCCTTAGTTCTCTCTGAGGTCACCCATGTACAGTATGTGAAAATGTGTTTTGTATGTGACTAATGACCTGGCCAAATTTTTCTGTTTTAAATATATGATTGTTAAAGATCCACATCTACCGGAGTCATCTTTGTACATGTAAGGACATTGAGCATTCCCATCAGGCCAATGCGAGTGGCTCAATGTTATTTCTACATCACTGGATCTACCCCGACTGGGGTCATCTTTGTGTTTGAGGACATTGAGCCACTCTCATCAGGCAAAGACCTCATATTATTATTGCTTACATCCTACTGGGGTCAGTCTGTATGTGAGGAGAGGGCTATCACCTGTGTGTCATCCCCTATACACCTCCATGGACTGTCAGTGTCGACAGAGTCAGTGACAGAGTGGAGAGGTAAATACTGACTGGGTCTAATATCACACCAGTAATGGGATGGTTTCTATTTCAAAGTGAACCTGTCACTCAGACCAGTGATGTCTACATCATTCCCCAGACCTGTGTGATGTTCATATATCACTAAAATTACTGGCCCTCAAAATATGTTGTAAGAACAATTACTAGCATCCATGTGATTAACACTATATCTGGCCTGTACAACAGGAAAACACGACATGACCAACATCCCTAGAGGATACCGTCTACACTGGTGTTATGTGTAACTACACAATGAGTTCAGCCCTATAAAACCCCTGTAGTAACATAAAAAGGCCATTGTGATTGACAGTGTGAATTGATCCAGGTCGAACTGTGCACTCCAATGTTATTTCGCAGGATATGCATGCCAATGTAAATTATGTTATACACATCAACATATACTAAAGAGAAATAAGGTCCCATTTTTATCTTATTGAAACAATGATATAGCACCCCAGGCACAGGTTTCACAAAAAAAATATTCAGACTTGGACTACTGGTAGCTTCTGCAGTTTTGATGTTGATCCTATCTGGAATTATAAGAGTAAAAAAAAATGATGTTTAAATTGAATTTTGGTTTGAGATTGAGGCTACTGTATCTATATGGCAATAACATGTATCATAATTATATAGCAATATTAAGGTTGCGTTTGTTTGGATTTTGAAATTATCACCTAATAGTAATTGTTGAAATTATGTAATTTTGCAGGTTATAGAGATGCATTATGGATTATCGCCATGGCGAGGTAGGGGAAGTTTCGGTGGACGTATTGTTTGACGATTTCATCAAGGCAGGCACATGCAAGCATATTCTGTCCACATTCCAACAGCTCTGTGAGGAGTTGGACATCAAACACACAACCCATAGACACTTTTACCGCAGACTTCGCAACCGCATCACCTCATGGAAGGCTCAGACAGTTTGGGCCAAGCTCGACAAGCGGGCCGGGCTCAAGGAGTACAGGAAGGGCGAGGCCTGCTCAGATACTAGAGTAGGTATAGGCCTGGGCAAGGCTTGCATCAACCTTTTGTTCCTTCAAAATTTCTGTGTAAGACACATTCAAAACATTGCTAAATCAGGATGAAATGGTGACAATTTTAGTGCCTTTGTATACACCTGAGGTTACAAGGAATCACAGTTCTGCTGATAGACTTACTCTAGGGTAGGTATCAGACATAGGGCAGGAAAGCCATGATAAAATACATGTATCAGAGGTATTATACAAATGCAGATTTGTTTTTGAGCTATGACTATATATAGAAAGCTTTTTACAATATAATTGATACTTGCTGGTCCAAGGGCTAAATGGATGGGGGACTGTCTACACTTGGGACCTTAACAAATGAAGATGTAGAGATAACTTGTATAAATGTACACACAGGAGCTACTGATTGGGTTAAAACTATTTCATTAGTGTTAGTCTGTAGTCTGACCACAAAGAGAATTACTGTTGGTGTGTCTGAGGTTTGGTGCCACCAGTCTGTAATGGCTGTGTTCACCAGCAGGACATAGGCAGATCAAGTCAGCTGCTCTGAGAGTGGTACCAGCTTTGTTGTCTGGATGTAGTAGTTGTGTCTGAGGGATGCTTTTCACCTTGTGTATTGACTAGAAAACATGGCATTATGTCATAAGGAGGTGGAATCTGTTTGTTGTGGGCAGTCAGTTTTCTCATCCAGAACCCTGTGCAAGTTTATCAAGCCTGTGAAATCAAGGTTAAGGATGAAGAGATCAATCTCTTGTCAATGATATTGGGATAGACTAAGGATTCAATAAAAAAAAACGCCCAACATTTTGGAGTTATTGAAATCATGGGGAAAAAGTCTTATCAATAGTTTAAAGAGTAAATGCTCCATTGTAAGTTCAAAAAAGTTGTTTGAATCGCAATTGTAATAAGAATATTTGTATTGTATAATAAAAGATAGTTGCTCAATAAAAATCTGTTGATACTACATGTGAATTAAAAGAAAACATGTTTTTTGACACAGTTCATATACTTTATCATTCCTCAGTGACATTTTGGGACTAGGGTATTTGAACCCTCATGGACTTACCCGGGTATGCTTTTCCTTTTAGGACCTAATATATCTCTTAGTAATGGGACTCTTTAAAATTTGTAAAAGATGTTCAGAACTTGCCTCAAAAATTCTAAATAAATCACTGATTCCTTCTGTGACTTAATCGTCAATGGTAATGTAGTATCTTCTTAAGTAGTGTTCATATAACGGAAGCCTACTATGTGATAGTCAGGTCAGCTGTTGCATCGTCTATTCCTGCTCCGTGATTATGACCAAGTCCATAATTATTGAGGACAGATAATTTACATAACTTCTCATGTAAGCAAATCATTAACATTTGAACTGAGGGTAATTGGGCAATTATTGAATTTTAAACAAACAAAAAGATAATTATCATGATAGTGTTGTATTTTGCACTTCTCTCAGGTTTGTAGCTATGTCTCCCTTCGACCTTGGTCCATCTTCATTTGACTTTGGTTGTTCGGAGGAAGTTAAAAACCCAAACAAACCTAGTTCAACTCTGACAACAACTGTAAGCAGTGAAGCTGCAAAATCCAAACTGTTAAATAATCAATGAATCGTGTCCTTAACAGGTCCTAGTGATTGGTGGGGGACCATGTGGACTGAGGATGGCCATCGAGTGTGCCCTGCTCGGGGCACGCGTGGTGCTGGTGGAGAAGAGGGACAGTTTCTCCAGGAACAATGTCCTCCATCTCTGGCCCTACCTCATTACTGACCTCAAAAATCTTGGCGCGAAAAAGTTCTTTGGCAAATTCTGTGCTGGAGCCATTGATCATATCAGTGAGTACATCGTGATTTAAAAAAAAACCCATATTCTTGGTTATTCTTTTTCAATGTTCATTTCAGTAACTGTTTTATAACAATTTGCAGTGAAATTGTGTTAAAGATAGATCTATATCTTAATTTCACTTTTATGTTTATGACCATCATGGGCCATCCACATGTAAAATTCAAGAAGACAAAATAGTTAGAAAATGAATATATGATCAATGAAAAGTAATAAACTTATAACTGACAAGAGGAAAAGTAGAAGAGAAAATAAAGGAAGATCTCAAATCTTAATAAATTACCTTCAAAATGTGCAAATGATTGTTCAAGGCCAAAGTTTGGTACATGTCCCTTAACTTTTAAAGAGTTATGCTTGACAAACAGTTTTCTAAATTAAGTAAAAAAGAAAAAGAAATCATCTCTGTGTATGTTGTGAGGTATTACATGAATAGCCATGTACAATCTAATTTTTACATGTCGTTGTTTATAGGTATTCGACAGCTCCAATGTATCCTGATGAAGGCTGCACTAATCCTGGGGGTGGAGATCCACTGTAATGTGGGGTTTGAGGGCATCCTGGAGCCTCCCGAGGACCAGTCCACTCACAGTACGTAAACCATCGCAACAAAAAAACTCATCTAACTTTAATAACTGCGTCAGTCGCAACAGAATTGTTAAAGAACTCAATTAATGTCCTGAAATACATACCGATTACAATAAACTAACCCTTTTATCAAACATAAAGTGATTTGAAGCTGTATTTCGATTTGAAGAGGAATTAAAACTGACTGGTACATATTCTCTGCAGATCTTATCCAGTCTGAGATCGATTGCTAACATATCACTCTGTGTAGTCAGTCTACGGTTGTCTGTTTCTGCACTTAGTAATGTGTTGTCTTACTCTATACAGAGGTGGGATGGCGATGCAAGGTGGACCCTCCAGATCATCCAGTGTCGGAGTATGAATTTGATGTCCTCATTGGTGCTGATGGCAAGAGGAACACACTACAGGGTTAGTTCTGTTTGATAGACATACCATCATGCACATGTATTACTTTTGGTTTTGTCCCCTCGTTCTTGAGGATTGATTTGTGATAGTGCATACATTTTATCAATGGTGATAAAAAAGAAGGTAAGAATGTATTTAAAAAGATGGCAAACAATTATTGTTGTATAAACAAACGGATTTAAGAAGCTACATAATTAAGATTGATGCCTTTTTATGTCAAAATTTTGTGCTTTTCAGGTTTTAAGAGGAAGGAATTTCGTGGGAAGCTTGCAATAGCGATCACTGCCAACTTTATCAACCGGAACACGACAGAGGAGGCAAGTGTGGAGGAAATCAGTGGTGTAGCCTTCATCTTCAACCAGAAGTTCTTCAAAGATCTGACAGAACAAACAGGCATAGACTTGGAGAATATTGTGTACTACAAGGATGATACTCACTACTTTGTGATGACCGCAAAGAAAACCAGTTTACTCGACAAGGGGGTTCTCATACGAGTAAGTTTAATGTCACAGTTAGTCATTTGCTGGTCAGATTGTGTTTTGTCAGCCCACTTTACTATTCTGCCACAGTGCCCATCATATGGTGTGATCAGTTTTATTGGTTATTCACTTATGCATATAAAGTCATCTTGAGATATTTTTTAAAGAAATTCTATTGGACTTGAATTGAGAGCTAGATACTGAGGAAATTGTGTTTTTTGTAAGTTGTTTCTCTGTCTTTAAGATGTACTTTATTATACCGGGAAACTTTCGCTCAGTCAAATATTCGCCTTTCACTTTGAAATTCTGTATCAGTATCCATTTGGAGAATTTCAATTTTGTATTGTGCCAAATCATGATTCTTAACTAGATTCTTACTTTTAAGTAAATAATTGTGTATTTTCTATGACGTATTCTAGGACTATCCTGACACTGCCTCCCTCTTGTCACCCAACAACGTGAACCGGGACAGTTTGATGGACTATGCCCGTGAGGCTGCTGACTTCTCCACCAATCAGCAACTGCCTCACCTGGACTATGCAATCAACCACTATGGTCAGCCAGACATTGCCATGTTTGATTTCACCTCCATGTTTGCAGCTAAAAATGCCTCACGGGTCATAGAGAGGAATGGTCATAACTTACTGACGGGACTTGTCGGAGATAGTCTGTTGGAGGTAAAGGAACACTTACAACATCGTTAAAAATATGTATAGTATAAGGTCAACATGGACCAATTGCTTTTTATGAGAAATGCTTTGGAAATATAACTTGGAATACATAAATGTAGTATGAGGGAGTTTGAAAGGAGGAGATAGTACAAAATCTCATTCTCATTGCATTTTGTACTTACAGCCTTTCTGGCCCACTGGCTCTGGCTGTGCACGAGGGTTCCTCAGCTGCATGGATGCTGCATGGATGATTCGACGCTGGGCATCCGGGAAAATGACACCACTGCAGGTGTTGGCGGAGAGGGAAAGCATCTTCCTACGACTCTCCCAGACAACGCCTGAAAACCTTCATAAAAACCATCACATGTACACCCTAGACCCCAATACCAGGCGAGTCCACAATGGAACAAAATTGTAGATAAATAACTAAACGAGATATGAATACTGAGCATTGATTTATTTAAGGATCCTCGTACCATTGCCAAAAACTTTTATAAAAGATGTTAAGATGAAATATTAACAGTATTCTAAGTGTAAAAAAAGATGCTGCAGGGCTAGACCCAGCTTCAAACCCTGAACTTCAGACTGCTAAACCATGCCTTAACCAATTGAGCTATTTGGTTGATCGAAGTGTCCTTGCGCAATTGTTTTACAGCTATATCTGAACGGGAGTTAAGGAGAAGTTACTACATATTATAGAAAAAGCCACAGTGTAGTGTTACAGGGTTCTTAAACAGTTTAGGATATTTGACATGTTAAGATCTTCATGTTAGATGGAGAGTATGTCATTCCTATAATGATTGTTAGTTATCTGTTTTTCCATGTCCTTCCTCTGGCCGTGCAGAATTCTAACTTACCAGTATTAGGACATATAGAGATTTAATAGAGGTCAAAGTTTACGGACCAACATTACTTCTGGTGTAATTTCCAGTAACAAGTGCATTTTTTGGTGTAACATATGTTAATTGATTTGATTTTTCCAAACAGGTATCCCAACTTAAATTCCAAAGCCCTTATACCTGAGCAACTGCGACACCTGTATGACTGTGGTGATGGTACGAACATGGACGAGATCATTGATATACCTGCAAAGCGGGCTAGAAATGGTGAGAAGCCTTCAATGTCTGTTAGGGAAAAGGTTATGCGACAGAGGTTTCTAAAAATAGATAATATTGCACTGTGTGATCGCTGTTGAATTTTCTACATAGTGACCAATAGTATTTTCAGTGGATGACACAAAAGCTTACCGCAGGTAACTTCAAAAAGTTGTTCTCAGTTTTTGTCTAATGGGCACATCAAATCTTCCAAATATTATGAAAATTCATAATTCCTCTGTTTTAAAACTAGCTTCTATATATTCAATAAAGTCAGGCTTCACTTTAGTACATGTTTTACTAGATGAATGAAATATTGATAGTTGCTATCCCTGATTGTCTACTGTATTATATAGGATCATAGAAATTAACTTCTATACTATAAACTGATTTTTTCCCATGTTCATGACTCCTGCTGTTTGGTGAGTTAGACTGTGGATCTGTTTGTTACAGATGACTTTGTGGACAGCTACACGTTACTACGGTGGTGTCAGAAGCTGTTAAACACGGGAACATTCAGAACGGTACACATAGTGGACCTGACATCCTCTTGGCGCAATGGATTTCCTCTCTGCTATCTCATCAACATCCTCAAACCGAATCTCCTGTAAATAATGTTACTTTATCATAATTTAAACATGAAAAGTCATTTCCAAACCTTTTAGTTCAACCCTGATGAGTATGAAGAATGTTTTATCTGGGCAGAACTGAAAAAATAAAGATTTATTATGTAAAATCCTTTTCACAGAAAATACAATGAAAGAACTATGAAAATTGATAAATAAGAATGCTAAATTAAAGGCTCTTTTATGTGGTCATAACCAAACGATGTTTATTTAAATTATTTTCCATTGTTTACAAACACCAACCTACCACAGACTTTATGTTGTTTTGCCTTCCATTGGTGGTGGATACTTTTCGAAAACTTTTTTGAAATAGACCTAATACAAATGCACTCCTTTGAAGTTTCTATTATCACAAATTAAGGGAATTTCTTTAGAAACAAAGAAATCAGGATCAACTGCTCAATTTAAAGGCAAAATATAACGTTTCTTACTTGAATCCCTTTTCGTATTACAGTGATATGAACACTTTGAACTCCAAGGAGGCGACCAAGAACTGCCAGCTGGCGTTTGACATAGCCCAGAAGGAGTTTGGAATTGCCCCTGTGATGACCGGAGAAGAGATGACCCAATGTTCTGCCACAGACAAACTCGCAATGATCTCATACCTGTCTCAGTTCTACCAGAGGTTCAGGAAAGACCGAGCATCAAGCTGTACGTTGTGTTGATATCAGACTGTTGTAGTTTTATAGGAACCAGACACATTTTGGGAAGTGTTATCGTATGTAGTCTCCAGTGGCAATGGTGTCAGATGTTACTTTTATAAACGTAGACTTTACAATTAAGCCTGCTTGATACATTACATGATTACTATATCAAATACTTACTTTTGCGATTGTTTCTCAAATGGCTTATTTGCAAGGTTTGAATTCACGAAGTGAATAATAAATTCAAAAGCATGCACTGCCTAATATATGTATAAGTATTGGTATTTGAATTCACAATTGACTGTCTGTGCAAATTAACATTAAGACCTGTATCCCACATCTATCAGCGATTGAGAGAATTTTGAAATTTTGAGTAAAATTAGTTTTTCTATTCAAAAGTAAGAATTTGTATTAAATTTTAATCGTATAATTTAAATAAAGGATGGATTTGGTGTGTAATTGTTGAAGTAAAAATACAATTTCTGTTTATTTTGTACAGTTGAGTCGCCCCGAGAGGATAGTCACAAGAGTCATAAATCTCCCCATCACCGTCTGTCCATCCTACAGAAGCTGCGGGTCAGCGCACGATTCGCAAGGTCGAAAAAGGTTGGTGTTTGATTTATAGCTGCAAATCTGAAAGTAATAAATTTGAGAAAAACATTCACAAGTGATGGAATACAATGTTTTCACCTTTGTTATAGATTTAAATATTGCGATAAGCTTTGTTTTGGAATGGTCTGTTGGAAATATTCTTTATTCTCTCTCAAACTACATCAATAAAATAGTGAAGTTTTGTTAATGAAACATTGATATTAGTAAATATGTACAGAAGTAGTTTCCAGATATGACTTTAAAAAACCAACCTCAAATACAATCACAGTCATCAGATAAGCTGAAACAAAATCTTATTCTGAGATTAATGTTTTTATGAAATCGGTGGTCGCTAGGTAACTTGTGATTTTATGTACAGAGGAAAGAAAAGGAAGGAGACAAGCATGAAACGTCATTCAGTAAGAGGAGACTCAAGGACAATGAGGTCAAAGAGGTGAGTAAATCCCATTAATATGTTACATATCAACCAAGCTAAATAGCTTTGTAACTCCAAATCACCCAATGGTTAATTCAACAATTTTGAAATTAATAATTCTCTTCTATGTGTTTTTTCTTCTTCAAAATGTTCACTTAAGGAGGGAATACTTATTTGTAAAGAAATTAAACGAGAACTGTTTGAAGCTTTATCGAAATTTATGACATCGTCAGACCGCATGTCTCATATTTACCAATCCGAGACATCAAATGGAATTATTTTATAATAAATGCCAACAAATTTAGACAAATGGTGATGTACAACTGACCAAGTATAACAAACTACCGATGGATGAGATAGCCAACAAATTGACCGTCCAGACCAAAAGTGAAAACTTCAAACAGAAAGAAGAGTCCCTGGCAGCAGTTAAGGTCAGCGCAATGGCAGAGCTACTTGTGTCAAAGTTCAAAGGTCAACAGGAAGAGCCAGTCAAAACATCACCAGCCACCAAAAGGGTACGTTAAGCCAGAATTGAAAAAAAGGGGCTTGGTAGTAAACCCCAATTAGTGTGGAATTATTTTCATAAATTGAAAGCAGAAACATGTCATTCGCTACCTACCATATATTAAAACCCTCACAGGTGGGATCGCTACCTACCATATACTACAACCATCACAGGTGGGATCGCTACCTACCATATACTACAACCATCACAGGTGGGATCGCTACCTACCATATATTACAACCCTCACAGGTGGGATCGCTACCTACCATATATTACAACCCTCACAGGTGGGATCGCTACCTACCATATATTACAACCCTCACAGGTGGGATCGCTACCTACCATATATTACAACCGTCACAGGTGGGATCGCTACCTACCATATATTACAACCGTCACAGGTGGGATCGCTACCTACCATATATTATAACCCTCACAGGTGGGATCGCTACCTACCATATATTACAACCATCACAGGTGGGATCACAGGTACATTTTTGTTTGGCATTATGGTAACTTCATGTTGAGAAATAAATACACACTGGACCATTTTCTTTGCACGAACTTCTGAAAATGTCAATAGTTTCAGACCAGAAGATTAGGAAGTGAACTGCTAGATTTGAATTGGAAGTATATATATATATCAGTGATTTTCTTTCTCAATTTTCTGAAATGTGCACATTAATATAACCACAGGGTATTAACCATTCTGGGAAATAATAGTGGACACATCCACAAAGTATCTGAAAATATACTACCAGTAATGTTAAAGGTAATCAGTCTTAGAAAAATTAAATAGCAGTGTGCCATATATGTGTTGTCTTATAATTAGGAATGTGATACAGCAATAGCAGGGGTAAAAGTGATTAATGAAATAATGCCAACTTGTACATTCTGTGGAATGATATACCTATATAATTGTTTGTTAGTATGAAAAGGTGCATTGATAGAACACTACTATCAATTAAATTGTGCAGTTATATTTTTTTGGTTTAATTTTCATGTCTGTTCCTGCCTGATTCCAGATATGTTTCATCCTGTGAGATTTTATGTCAATTATGTAATTGTATTATGTCCCAACAGAAGCAGCCAGGGGTGTTGATGGCTGCCACCAAGGCCAGTGAGTTCTGCTACTTCTGTAAGAAGCGGGTGTATTTGATGGAACGAATGAGTGCTGAGGGCATTTTCTTCCATCGGGAGTGTCTCAAGTGTAGTTACTGCTCTGCCGGTCTCCGACTCAGTAATTACAGCCATGAGCGCTCACACACCGGGGAAGGTAGGTTTTGTGGATACTGTTGGTTTGATAACTTTGATTATGGTATTTTGTTGGAATAAAATTGCAATAAATATATTTTTCTCAAAAAAATTGTGATGTCAATAAAGCTATGTAAGAATGTAAAAAGTAAATATTTTATTGAAAGAATTCTTCTTTCTGTGATTAGGAAGTTTATTTTACCAGTTATCTTACAGTTAATGTAGACCTTTCCAAAATGTGTTTCTCCTGTGTTACAGTTAAGTTCTACTGTTTCCGACATCAACGACCAGAATCTAGGGTACAAGTCAGGAGTAGACGGAAGAGGTCTTGGCTCAAAGACGATAGTCTCAAGGTCAGTGATTATTAACCTCAAAGTTGTGTGCTTAAGATTGTTTAAATATGGAATATATAGATTTATTTTGCTGTATTGAACAGATTTTGCATCCCTTTTTCTTGTAATACTACTCACTATTGAATAATATATGTTGTTTAACTTTTTCACATGTGGTTTGCTCCAGGACTTGCATTAGGTGTTATCTAGAGGAAGAGGAAGTTTATTTTTACCAACAATGCTATCATTTACATGTGTTGCCGCTGTATTTGAACATCAATGAATGTTAATTGGAAAATTTTGTTGAACAGGAAAACATTCCGAAGATTACCATTGACACCAGTGACTCACCAACACCGCAACGTAAGAAAACCGATGGGTCACCAAAGAAAGTACCTAGTAAGTCAACAGGTTTTATATACAGGAAAGTGAAAGGTTTGTTCTGAGGAAATAATTAATTAATTAAATATGGCAATCAAAAGAATTCAATTTGCTTGAAATTGTAAAGGGTCCATTGATGGACTTAGTTATGGCTAGTTGTTAAAGGTAGGACTCATTAAACCATAAAAGTTCATTGCTAAGGTTGGGATTGATATTTAATTTTCGGGTCGTAAAAGGATTAGATCATGCTATGTGGATCCAAACTAACATTCAACATTCATGTAATTGGATATGGAAATGGTACGAGTGTTAGGGTAGGGAGTTTGAGAGGACAATATTTACATTCTGCTTCATTAATAAAGATGTAAATGGTTCTAGTTGTAAACTTGAGGTGTGGTATTTCATACAAGCTGGAGAGGAAATGGAGTTGATTTCATTCTTAATTTATACATATACTGCACTTAAAAGTAAATCATTGAAATGATCTGTGAAACATGATTTTGAATGGAATTAATGGAAACAAGATTTAGTTTTATCACTGCAATAGAAGTAATGATTTATAATACAGTAGCTGTTTTGTAGTAAAAGTGGATATTTTATGTGGAGAATGTTGAACAGGAATACTATGAAAAGATTGGTTTGATATTTTGAATTCTATGTTTGTTCTCACATTACATAATGAAAGGTATTTGTCGTTCACATGTTTGTGATTATTTAAAAGCTGAATCTGTCAATTGCAAGAAAATGTATAAAAAAATGTTTAGCTCTTTAACTTCCATTTAAAAGCACAACAGTTTGTCAATTCAGGAGATATGAAAGAACCATTGTGGTGAGACCATCTCTAAAGAGGGCAGGGAAACAACTGATTGTGATTGGTCGTGCATGCACAATGCGAATCAATGTGTTCTACATGCTAATGTTTGAACTAATTGGTTTGGATGAGTTGTTGTAAGGATAACTGGTTTAACCCTTTCACCACTGTATACCATAATGGACTCATCCATATCAATGCATGGTAGAGTCTACTAAAGTTACATAGGGGTGAAAGGGTTAACAGTAATAAAGTAAGCAATTAATTTGTGAAACTGCCAAGGTTAGAACCGTCGAAAGTTAAGATAATCAAGGTTCAGACGATAAGTGCTGAATTTGTAGTTTTCCTGGTCAGGTTTCTCTATAATCAACGATGTGAATGTTTATTTATCAGGTCCTCTGTCTCCACCCCTGATGCCAGATTCAGACTATATTAAGGCCAAGAAAACGCCAGAGAGGATAGAATTTGAGAACAGCATTGACGGTTTACAGGAAGAAGAGTCTGAGGAGGAGCTCACCGAACACAATCTCCGTGCCTCCATGTCCTCGGAGGCCATCCTCAGTGATGGAGAGGAGGAAAACATGTCAGACTCGGACCTCGAGTATGTATATATTATTGTGATCATTGAAGATCAGTGACTTTGCAGGTTTAGACAGTCAATTATTTCTTCTTTTGAACTAAATTAAAATGCTTTAGGAACAAAATGCCTATATATGCTGTTATAAAGTTAGAGACAAAAATACCACCAGAACTTGAAAATTAAATGTTTTTCTTGTTCAGACTTGATGTTTTTAAGATGTAAGTAAACCTTTCAAATACTCTGCTGATAACAAGCTCTAACAACCAATAAGTAATAATTCCAGACTTCTATTCTTTCTTCCATAATGAGTTTAATTTCTATGATATACAATATATATTGAGATGCCTTTTCTGCTGTGTAGATTCTAAAATGTATTCTTGTATTCCATTGTTTTCCCTGTCAGCTATCGGTATGTAAAATTCAGGAAAGGGAATCATATCTACATTATTATTCCTTTCTGTCCTAGTTCACTTTTAATTTTTTTCTTTAAAAATCATCAACATTTTCAGTATTTTAGTTTCGTCTTCTTTAATTGATTTTAAATTTCACTTTATATATATATATCATTTGAACTGCACTTTTAGAAGATTATCTCAAATAGTGAAATGGCTGGTTTCAGATGCATGTACAGAGACATTTTTTTTTTCATTTTTCTCCATTGGCTCTATAACACAGGGACGTGACTTCTGATTTCAGAGACCTGTATGAATTGCTGAGTGACTGGTAGGCACAGAATTGCCTTGCCTTAGTTACGATAGATGTTTGTTTTGTTTGTTGCATAAACCATTAAGACAAATGACAAAGTATCTTACTAACTGCAGATGATACCAATCAATGTAATTAAAAGAAATGTCGTGAAAGGTTTAGAAAACAAACAAAAATCATTAGTAATAGTGGATTTTTAAAAAATGTTGAAATAGTTAAATAAGTGACTTTCTATATCTTTTCTTAATCTGTTAATACATATCATGGAGACAACTTAACATTTAGCTTGAACTTCTTGGTCATGGTCTAGTTGTGCTAACAGGAAATAGTTCTTCACGATGCATAAAATGACTTTGACCTACCTACTTGGGTTGTCATTTAGAAATTCTTATTGGAAAGAAAATATCTATTTAAAGTACAGTAAAACCCCACTTAATCGAAATCGTAGGGCCCAGGTCATAGTTTGAGGAATACACGGTATTCGAAGAATCCGAGGTTCTGCTGACATTGTCATTTTTTTATCAGGTGGGACAACAGACAGTATGAGCACTACAAATACCACGTATAGTAAATGATAGAAGTTAAATTAAGATGACAGCATTTAATAAGATTTAAAATAGTTAAACAATGAAACATATAGCCACCGGTATTAAGAAAGTGAATACAATTTAAAAGCTGCATGTGTAACGTACTTGTCGTTTTGACATAGTCCACCATACTGAATTCAGCTACGTTAATTTAAAAAAATATCAAAACGAGAGTAACTCTTCGATCATTTCAAAATGAAGAAAATCTTGAATCCTTGTTATTATAATGTTGATTGATAACGAAATTAACAATCAAGATGTATTACAATTTGTATATCTTCAAAGTTGGTCGGATTCAGCTGTGTGATTTCTGCTTAATATTGCCTTGCTGAAATATGGTTTTACACACCCAGTTAATTCACACTTCCGCCAAATCATCGATGTCAAAACATTGTCTGGAAAACATAAATAAGCATACAAAATGATAATGCGGCTACAATAGGGTAACGGTACAGTTACTTAATGATACTGCCGTTAATCCTAATTATCTGTCCAGTGGACACCTGTATAAGCACAATGAGCTTGGACTGCAGCCTGTGTCTCGGGACATGTCGACGACCGTTATTCGAGGAATAACGGTTCATCTAATCCGGGGTTACTTTACAAAGAATATGTACAAACTTGGTTGGGACCAAACAAACTGTTCGGCGAATGAGGGGTATTCGAGTAATTATAAACCGAAATTGAGGAAGTGTGGTTTTACTGTACTGTTCTTTACATTCAAGTGTCACAGATCTGGAGCACTGATTTTAGTTTATTTTAAGTTCTCACCTTTCCCAGAAATACTGCTCTGTTTGTTTTGTTCATGACCTGTATTTAAGTGTTTCTGAAGTAAGTGATCCTGTCTGTAGTTGAAAATACCTTGCATTAATACTTAATGACAAGCCTTTTGCAAATTTAGGATAACTCTTTTGCAGATTCAATTATAATCAGACCCTGATACACCATTTTGTTCCTGCACATTTTTCAACAAAAGGCATTGTTTTGTCTTCAGTGTTGTGATTATCATTCCAGGTTAATTATCAGAACTTAGTTATAAGTTAAACTCGTACGAGTAAAAGACTCGGCACTCATTCTGACTCAAATGGATCATCCAGCCTAAATCTACATAAACAAGTCATTGTTTTTTTTCTCCTTATAACCCTCGAATGTCAAGATAATCTGCTTGCACCAAGTTTCAGTTTAGCTGTTTGAGTATGAAAACATTCAAATTTATTGAACAAGAATGGTTTGCTTTGATTTTAAAGTTGCTAGTTTTAGGATAAATGATTATGTGTTATGTGGAAAAAACCGACATATTCCGGTGGTTAATTTGCTGTTATATCTGTTATATTTATGTTGTAATACAACTTTCAATTGGGTTGAATATTAGCTTCTGATGAACTCATTGTAATATTAATAGTGATATATATGGTAAAGGGAATAGGGTGGCAAGGTAAGGGTGGGGGGCTATTTAGTACTATTCTTTAAATAAATATTTGATAGTTTGAAAATGAAAGCAATTTGCATGTTTTATCAAACAAGCATGCTTCATTGTAGATTGTTCCATAATGTTTTACAAAGTTTTATGTAGTCATGAAAAAAACTTATGTCAGATATAACTGTAATACATAAAGTATGATAATAAACAAAGATGAAGCAAAGATTAGCAAGTTGTCGGAAGTCGGTGACTATTTAAACATTTATGTGACAGTTCCAGTAGACTTGCTAGCAGATCTCACGATTTGTTACCTGTTTCTTGTTTGTGATTTGAGCTTGGATTGCCTCTTCCCAGAAATATCTCCCCCACCTTTTGCATGTGACATCACTACTGATAGACTAGTTCGATTCCCTGGCTTTGACCAAATTGTTTTGAGTTTGCAATACAAGGCATTTGATACCTATGAAAATACCTAGCATGGGAATAAATAGAAGTTCATTTAGTCAAGGTCAAGATCTGGCACATCATTCAAGCTTCATGCTCATCAAGAGTGCTAGAATGAATAGTATTTGAGGTGGAATTGTCGAAAGTCAGTGTCGTCAGTGTCACCATAGCTATTGATAGAATTGCATATTATCTGTGGACAGATAAAGGGAAGTAATGTCACTAGTGAAAGTAAATAAAGAATTGGGATATTTTTTTATTTTTTTTCTATATATATATATTTTTTTTATCAATTTCTAAGAATAATATACAATAATGATAATATACAATAGTAATAATATACAACATTTATATAGCACCCTATATAATTTGTAAAATTACTCTAAAGCGCTTTACAACATATGGATAATAGTATTAGTTATAACTGTAAACAAAAAAGGCTTACAATCACCTTTATACATTAAGCAACAGGATAATCATCTCAATGTGCACATAGAAATGAATAAATAAAGAGTGGTATGTACATGACGTCTGTACAAAGAGTCTAAAATGCTGATGTGCAGATGGGGGAGAAAAACCTCCCATTTGATGTGTCCTTAGTTACTTTGCATGGTATCCTTAGTATTATTGTAGTAGTGTACATCTCCATGTGAAGCATGTGTGTGACAAATTAGCCACCAACACTGTGACACTACAGTATACTGTATTACACAACGTAAGACTTCCTCTGTTAACTCACCCTAGCTCTCAATGTTGAATCTCTTTCATTTGATATTACGTCATGGTATGAGATTTGTAATTATATCAAAAGTCTGTAATGAAGTATAGTTAGTAAATATATGATGAAACTGCTTTTTAGTAAACTGTTCAAGCCATAAGTAAAAAAAAGATGGAAATGCGCAAGAATAAATTTGAATTACTTTAGTAAAATTATGAAGTACTAGCTAGGTGTTTTTACCAAACCACTTCATCCTGTTTCCGATCAATGAATATCTTACGGATATTCAGGAAATTATTTGCACTTGCTTAAAGTTCCCCTATCAGTTAATTTGAACCATGCATCTTTAAGATATGAATGGATTTTGACCTTACTATGGGTAATAGAAATATGAAATTTTGAGTGGAGAAAATACACTGCAAACATGAAGTTCTTTTTGAAAATTAGCTGCTCCAGTGAAATTATCTGTCATTTCTGGCATGTATGACGAGTTGTATATTAAGAGTTTATCATAGTACAAAACTGTAAAAAAAAATATCCTAGAAATTATGATTTTTGTGTAACTCCTTGATGTCAAGGAAAAATACAGTAATTACTGTGTGATCTGTAAATTTCCTGCGATATTAAAACTGTCTTTAATAAATGGTCATTGAACAAGATTTGTATTGTTTGTAGATTCTAATAATTAGTATAGTCTGTGTAAATTAGGCCTGTGTTTATGGTGTGCTGTGTCCTCCAGGTCCAGTGACGATGATGAGCTAACAGAGGTGATGGAGGAGACTTTTGGCCTCAAGAAGGATCTTACATTGGAGGAGGCTCTCGAGGTGGTGGAGACCCTCAAACGCAAGTCCCATGAAAACCTCATTGACGCTGTCAACAATGAGGGAAAAGTCAAGTACATGGATAGTGATGAGGATGATGACACAGAGGTGGAGGGCGGTAAGCTTCGGAGAATAATATTTTGAAATTTTGCTGTATATTCTTGTTAATATAGAAAATAAATAGATATGGTATCTTACAAATTTATTTTGGTATTGATATTTTATATTTATATAGTTAACATGTATTTATTTATTCAGATGATGAAAATAAGAAAAAATATTTCCTAATGCTTATGTTCTGGAATTAAATAACCAATGAAGTAAAACATGAAAAGAATAATTTTGATAAGTTTAGTTGGAAACCTCACTGTATAAGTAAAGAGGTTTTGATTCAGTAATTTGGATTGAGAGTAAATATACTGAATATTTGGGTTTGACAAAGGTTAGGAAAATGTAGGGGATGGACCATTTGTTTCATCTTGGAAATGGTTATCTAAAGAGTGTTGACCCTGTATGTTACAGACTCTGACTTTGAGACAGATCAAGATGATGAGGATACAGAGATGGAAGATGATGTTTGGGAGGAGGCTGAAGAAGAACAAGCACCTGCTGTAACACCAAACAATAAACTCTCACTCAACATTCCACCTCCAGACCCTTCTAATGTTGAATGCAAAGCACGGCGAGCTAACTTCTTCACCACTCCTCCTGAGGTAGTCAGATTGGACCCATGGAAAATGTTTGGTATGGGAGAAACAAATGAGGATATCAACAAAATCCCCAAGTCTGAGGACTCGGAGGAAGTGATCACGACTCAGCCCCATGCCGCAGCGGATATGATTGGGTCTGATACAGAGGCCACAGATCGTCAAATTAAGACAGAGATATTGGACGAGGATGAAAATAAAGAAAGACAAGAGGAAGTGATGGCAAGAGCTGATGAAGATGATCAGAGGACAGATGAGGAATGTGATGAAGTGTTTGATTCTGAGGAGGATGGAGAGGATGTGGATGATAAAGATGCTCTGAAATATGAAATGGAAAAACTATTAGTTGACATTGATCACAAGTCTAGTGCAAGTGGTGAAAGTGTTCCTGATATCCTCAAGACTGATGAGGAGGAAGTTCACTCTTCTTCAGCAGAGGAAGACGGGGAAGTAGCAGGGGTAGAGGTTGGTATGTTAGAGGACACAGAACAAGCTGTGCTTAGGAGTGTACAACAGATGAGTGAGAATGGCTCGTCTTCCTCAGGACGTACCACATTACAAGATGTGTTAAACAGTGTGGAAGGCATGAATGCCGAAGATGAGAGGATTAACTTGCAGGACTTTACTGGGGTAGACGATAGGTTTATTACACGGACAAGAGGGGGTAGGAAAGGGGTTGTGAAAAAGAAAAAGCGGCCAACGTACCGTGATTCTGTTGGGTCCGACTCCAGTTTCACTATCTCTACACCTAGCCATTCCGGTCGGTCATCTGTGAGTTCTCTTTCGTCCGAGCTGGATCATAATCAACCATATGGCGGAGAGGATGAAAACGAAGAAAAACCTGATGAGGATTTATTACGAGATTATCAGCTTACTCTTAGTCAGGCTTTGGGGGAAGATTACAGTGATAGTACAACTCCTAGAGACAATGGAAACCAAGATAATCTTGATGAAACTCTTCAAGCAGAACAGGAGGAGTTGGATAGTTCGATTGTAGATAAAGAAAAAAGTTTCTATGCAACGCCCAATGCAAGCGCGAGTGATAAAAGTGCTAATATTAGTGACAAGTATTCATCAGCAAATGAGAATTTTTCTGAGATGTCTCCAGATGCAGTGTTTAATGATGATTTAACCAAAACCAATAGTAACGGTAGTGCTTGGCGTCCTCTCCCTCCCCCACCCCCTGTAGATAATAATGACAATGTGAAATCCTCCACTAAATCGCTTACAAAGCGTCAGAACAGTACAGAATCTGGGGGTGACTCTGGAAAGGAGGGACGCACATCTACGGGGAGACAACTCCCTGATATCAGCAACCTCACAAGTAAGGTATCTGAGCAAGGGTTTCAGAGCAAGTTCATGAAAAAGAAGATTGGTTCTCCGACCTCAACTATGACAAGTGGTGACAGTACGACTAGTGGCAAGGAGAGTTCCTCTAGTCCAGAAATGAAGTTTAAACACAGGTCTGTTTCCACTGACAGTTCTAGGAACAACTACACTTCATCCTCATCAACAAGTGGGGATAAAGACAGAGTACCAAAGTCAAAGGAGAAAAAGATGCGAGTGTCGGTAGATCATACCAAGCTCCGAGCTCTTAGCAGCTATGAGGATAGTTCAAGTCAAAATGAGGAGGCAGGGGACAGGAAAAAGAAAATTGGCATAGATTCAAGACTGAAAAGTAAGATGAAAGAAGAGATATATAAGCCACGTGTGAGTGTAGGAGAGCACATGGTAGATGACATTCCATTTGCAGATGACAGCGAAGAAGACCCGCACTATGACAATTTCTATACACCAGCCACCTCTGTCAAGAGTAGGCCAGCTCCTGCCATGAAACGCCCCAGCCCTCAGCGGGACATCAGGAAACGAATCCTGCCTACTCCTCCCAATCAAGGAGAAAGCACGCCAGCTGTGCCAACAATTGACCACATAAGACAGCTCAAACGAACAGATATGGACAAGGCACGCGAAAAGGCTCGAGAGAAGGCAAGGTTGAAAAGTGATGAAGAGTTAGGGTTGGCCAACATGGGGTACACCCCTGTGGCAGGTCATAAAGGTCACCGGTATCGTCGGGGCAACAGTTCCACCCCAAGCACCAGTGATCAGGTCTTATCTGACAGTGATGATAACCATATTAAATTAAAAGTGCTGCATTCCACACCAAATGGTGAGGTCGTCCTACCGCCAAAGTTTACCAAGGATAAAAAGACCAAACAGTTTGATAATAGTACCAATGGTAAAAGTACTGATAAGTCAGATACTGAAACCAAGTCAACAAACAAGAAACGCAAATCTCTCCTTCAGATGTTACGGCCCGGCAAAGAAAAAAACAAAGATTTTAAGGACAAAAGGTCGTCATCAAATGATACTCTTGATGAAAAATCTGAAAAGAAAGTGAAAAAGACACCTAAATCTGATAAGAAGAAGAAAAAGACACATAAATCTGAAGGGGATGCTTTGGACAAGGGCCTGAGTGAAGGTATGCAGGATTTAAAGATAGTGGGGTCAATGTTTGGACAGAAGGACACCCCTACAGGACGCCGCCCAGGCCATGCTGTCCGAAGGACAGTGGCCCCAAGGGCTGACTGTAAGTGTTAACTACAAATGTCATGACACCTTTATAAAGAGCTTTTATTCATGTATAAAATCTAACCCCGAAATTCCAAGATAAGTCACTTCTATCTGGTGTTTGGATTATCTACCTATTCTGTAAAAAATATTAATTAAACTCTGGGTTGTACCCCAAAACAGTACTTGAAAAGTCTTCATTAAACAACCATTGCTATGTTATGGTAATGGTTGATTGATATGTAGTGTGGTTTTACACCTGATACTTAATCTACTGTAATAGTTGCCTTTTTGAGGGGTTTACATTTTTTATAATATTTGCTGTAACATTTCTTTTGTGAAAATTAATAGCAAATTAATTTGTCCTATCGTTATACTTTATGCCATGACCATAATACCTTTAATCCGTGAAAATGAGGTGCCACAAAAAAACAACCTTACATAGTTTAAAATTATCACAGAAATCACAGAAAACAGGTTTTGTTAATGTAACATTTTGCTTTATATCACATTTCCCTCTGATAAATGATAGATGACATTTAGAGGAGTATACTGTAATACACAACATACATTCTGTAATGTTAAACTTTCAGTGGAAGAGTTTTCGGATTCTGATGAAAGTCACGTATCTGTTGACACCACACTGTCCAGGCGATCAAGGGTAGGTGAAGCTCTTTACATGCAATTAATGTAGCCACATTTTATGTTTTGAGGTATTGACTTAAATGATTTTACACTTTCTTCAATAACTTCAATAGAAAAATGTACCAATGGTTTGATGTAATATCACAAATCTGTTTTTCAGTGGAAAAGTACATATAATTGGATTAAATTGCTGAAATACGTTTGTGAAATGAAATATAAATGTTCACATTGATAATACATGTATTTAACTTCCAAATCAAGATGAAGGATACTTAAAAACTTTAATTTGATATTTATGAACAGATAAATTATAGGTGTCTCATTTACATCTGCCTTAACACTTTCACCCCTGTGTAACTTTAGTAGAGTCTACCATGTATTGATATGGATGAGTCCTTATGGTCTACAGTGGTGAAAGGGTTTAAGATACTCGAGTGATTAAAGGTATGAACACTGTTGACACTGTTCCAGGACCGAAGGACAATGTCAGAAGACGAGGTGAATGTTAAAATTGCCCGTCGTGTGCAGTCAGCTGCCAAAAAACAGCAGAAGCAACGAGAGCAGAAACGTCTGAGGATGGCCCAGGAGATACAGAGACAACTGGAGGAGGTGGATGTCAAACAGAGGGAGCTAGAGGAGCGGGGCGTCTCTATAGAAAAAGCACTCAGAGGGGAGGGTCCAGGTATGCAGTAGGAGCAGTGAAGTTTATAGGGGAGAGGCCACGGCCCATATTTATAAAACCATTCTCATAAGGCTGAAAGTAGCCAAACTTGTAGCTGATTTACAGTCTAGATGTTTAATTTTGATTCCATCACAAGGAGCAGAGAGTTATTAGAAAGATGGTTAGAGATCAAAACTACAGTTTGAACATGAGAACAGATAGAGTATGGCCTCAGGTATGCTGTACTAGGAAGCGAGGAGTCAAATTGTAAAGGAGACAATTTCTTCAGAGGAGTTTTGTAGGGGGAGGAGTTACACTTAAAGTATATGTAAGAGAAGGTGTGTGTGGGTGGAGTTATCACATATGGATGGGAGGAGTTATATTTGTAGGGGTATGCAGCACATGTACCTAAAGATTCAGTCTATAAGAGAGGAGGAGTCCGGTATGTAGATAGAGATATATAGGATCAAGTGTACAGGGGGAGTGGCCATGTCCTCAATAGAGGTGGTCATAGGCTTCCACTGAAAAGGAAAGACCAAGCTAAGATTAATTTGAATTAGGAAAGAACCTGTTGATATTGGGATAGGAACAAAACCAACATGTGCTTTTGATGAAGTATGATAATAAATATATATGTACAAAACTTACTTTCCAGATGCCGAGCGTGAAGAGAAGGAATTGATGCAGGAGTGGTTCAACCTGGTGTATGAGAAGAATGCACTAGTCCGATACGAATCTGAGCTGATGGTTAAGTAAGTACTGCATACCACTAATCTTATTTCTCTATACCATATATACATTGAACATTTTCAAGATCTTCTGAAAGAGTTTCAAACTATTGTAGGGCATTTCAAAATCGATAAATAAGTCCACAGATCCAATCACTGATCATATCTAAATTCAATCTGAAATCTTGTTTATTCCTGACTTTTTAAATGCCTCCTACTTCACTTAGATGTAACTCTTTAATAGCCATTACATTTATGATACTGTATGAATGCCGGTGTCTTATTGTAAGTTATACAACTCTTATATGCAATGGAATTAAAATTGAAACTTTCTAAAATTTGATAACTAGAATGATCTTGGTTAATACTTTACTAGTGCCTGTTTAACACTTTTAGTGCCCAGTATATGGAACTTGAGGACAGACACGGTCGTCTGGAACAGAAGCTCCGAGAGAGGATGGCTATGGACAGTAAGTGTATTCGGATCATCAGGATGGAAGTGAAGTCAAAGAAACATGGTTGGGGTTTTCAATGTTCCAAGTTTAAGATGATAAAGGCAGAAGAAAATACTTTTTTATTCATTAAAGAAGGGGAAGAAAATATTGTAGTTTTTGGTTATAAGTTTATATAAAGATTTAACGTACATATTGACGTTATGTTTTTGGAGTGGGTTTTGTAGGGGTTGGGAGTAAAAGTAATTATTAGTATGGGGGTTGGACTGAGCACAGGATAACCTAGTGCTCTTCAGGTGTGCATGGAATTGGACCATGGCAACTTGAACACAGGATATAGAGCTATTGCTAAATGGATTTTAAAGGTTGTGTAATATATAATGTGAAAACTTGTGTTTCCTTCATTTTCATTTAACTCATAAAAGAAAATGATATACATTGTATCCGCATTTGAAGGCTTTGCTATGGCTTCTGAGGCTGTTTATCAGATGTATACATCCATCAGCTATGTAGTAGAGAGTCTGAAGTGCATACAATACAGAAGTGTGTGATTTGTGTAGATGTAGACCATGTCATCTCATTGTTTGTTGCATGTGTCATGGACCTAGTAGTTATAGTGTATTCCATGTGATGGAGACATATCATGTTTACCCTGGATGTCCCAACCCTTTATATGTGGTTTTCCTAACATTATGAAGTATATTTGTATCAATTAGGGCTTTGTTAAAATATATGTTCTCTTCAGACATTCTGATTACTTTGACATACTGAAAATATCCATATTTATGAAGTTTATTTTTTTCGCTCATTTCAATTACAGTATTTGTGACGTCATTATAGATGATAAACTTTGATTTAGAAAATTCAGTCATGATTATTTTCAAGAATTGTTTTCTCCTGGACATACTGTAAGTTCTGGCAGACAAAACTAGATTGAAGTTGTATTGATGATTTGAAGGGATTTTTCAGACTTTTTGCTTTACAATGGTGGAGAGCGGAGCCTGTCTGAGATGTTTCGAGATTTTGCTATATTAGGTATCCAAGCACTGTTTTCTTCTGTAGCCATGTGTGTGGTGGTGTATATTGGCTGATAACATGTCAGAAGTTTTCTCCCCTCGTTGTAGATTACCTCCCTTCATTAACATCTAACATCTCATCAAATGTGTTGTTCACATGATTTTGTACAAGGATCACAAGTTTGTCCCCATATAAGTCTGTGTGAGATCATCCTTCTAGATAATGACTTCTGATCCCCCTGTTGTTATTAAGTACCTGACTCCAAATTCAATCTTCACTCAAAATTCTAAAAAGCAGAAAAGAATACTTTTATAGTATCAACCATTTCATTTCTCATGGCAAAACATTGATGAATTTTGGGTCAGCTGAATATTTGGAAATTTCATTCATATTCAGATTAATACACAGATATCTTGAAGCTGCAAAAACAATTACAATTATTTCCTATCTGGTACATGGCATTAGTGGTAGTCTTGCTAGCTAGGTCTGGATTTGGTTTACGAAACATGTATTGAATATGTTTTGTTATTATAGAATTAATTTTAAAAGCACAATTGTATAATTATTTTGTATTACTGGTATGATAAACATATATCCTCAGCCAAGCAAATCACAAAATTATTTGAAAATTTAGGAAATACTTGATGTGTTTGGACAAATTTACGAATATTTTATAAGTTATGCTTTGTTTTTAAATGGATGATTGTTTTCTGAAAAATATTCTTCAATAATAATGATGCAATATTAGACTATGCTTTGTCTTAAATGGTTGGTGTTTTTTTGAAAATATTCGTAATAATGATTATGCAATGTTATACATTGCTTTTAAAATGACTGTACATGTATTGAAATTGCTTGGTTGAACAAGATATATTAAAATGGAAAATATATTGGATACAGATTAACAATGAAATCATTTTTCATTTTACTTATATTTGAACAAGGAATTACCTTTCATCTTGATTAATTGACCACTTAAAATAAATTTTAAAATTTATGATTTTAGTTGTTCTTCCTAATTCAAGGGAAAATATTTCAGTTCCCATGCCATTGTATTAAAGATATCTTCTATCAAACTTAAAAACAATAAAGTATATGAAATTTCATTACAATATCACAACCATTATCATGCTTGTCATTCATTCCATATCATTTCACACTGCTCAAGTCTTATTACTGTAGTTGTGGAGTTATTGCCTATGTGCTGGTTAGAAATGTTTTTTGTTTATTTTTAGCATGCTACCTTGTCCGGGCTAAACTATCAAACATACTTCACTACAAATTGTTTTCTTTTTATTTCTTCAATATATATTTTGGTGAAAGGCATATTCAGATTATGACTTTTAAAAAAAAATCTTGGTTTTGGAATACTCAACCTGTTGTATGTGACCACCTATCTGCTAGTACATGTAAAATATGTTTCTCTATGAAGACTCATTTTAGAAAAACTAGAAAAAAAAACCTCTTTAGTCTGATAAAAACAAAAAATCTGTTTTCAATCGAGTGTTCATCTTTTTATTCCAATCCAATGTGTAACAAAGCATTGAAAAATCGACTTTTGATAAGACTGATGAAATTAAACGTGATTGATAATCAGTTCACACAGTGATATCTTTGAATTCCTGACAATGTAAAATCCTGTTACTAAGAGCTCTACAATAAGGCCTCAGATTCAGGGAAAAGTCCTGGAATTTCAGAGCATTGGGCCATTTTCAGCAATTTTAGTCAATATCAAAGTTAAGAGAGGCCATTCTATGTGAAATAAAAAGAATATTCATTATTGGAACATGGAGGGGTCAATGGCCCCATGGCCCCCTCCAGAATTATCCCTGAGATTAACTGACAATGTTTAGACCAAGAAATTGTCAAATACTCCTTGACAGTGTTTAGACTTAAGGTATACCTACATGTGGTCACTGTACAGTAGGTTGGTGCAGTACTGTTTGAGTTTATCCTGAAGAAAGTAGCATGTGACTGTGTTGTAGACTTGACTCCTGATGGCTAGCTCAAAATCTCTCAATATTGGGTACATAGGCCTCCGATGTGAGTAATCTGCATGCCCTATAACCTTGAAACACGCCGTTCATTTTCAGATATAGTTAAAACCCAGGAACAGGCTGCAGAGGAGAAGCGAATTCTGGACGAACTCCTCCAAGTTGTGGAGGAACGCAACAATCTTGTAGCCATGTTGGAGGAAGACCGACTCAGGTAGAATAGTGACTGGTATACGTTTACAGGTGTGACCCACTCATTAAGGTGTTAGTTGTACCCAGATACTGGCTGGTCCTCTGGTACCCTTGCTAAGGTGTGATACTGCTAAATGAGAATGTTGGTTTGGTTTTAAAGTGTGGCTTTTAGAGGTACAACCTGCGCTTTCTTCATCAGATGCATTATTTATTTAGTCAGTTCTTACCTGGATTGAGAAGTGAATGATTTAAATTGGATACCTCAGTTTTATGAGGGTAGCACATGTGTGCCTTAGGTAATTGTGTAACCTTTTTTTGTGAGTTATTCCTGCACATTCCAAAATAAGGACCCATTTTCACCTTGAATCTCAGTTGTAAAGCTGTTTGTCCTCAATGCCCC